GGTGGATCACTTTTCACCAAGCCACATCACCATGGCAACTTATGCTGCATCTCCAGGGAAGTTCAGGATTTCAAATTATAAACAGCTGTTTAACTAATCAAAGCAAATATTTGACCAATTAATGCCAGACTTCTGAAAAAAGTGGACCTTTCTAGTCCTACAAAATGTTAATAAGCACTAACACAGTAAAAGTGGCAACAGCTTTTTACTGTTATAAATACTGTACACACACACACACACACACACACACACATATATATATATATATATATATATATATATATATATATATATATATATATATATATATATATGTGTGTGTGTACATACACACATGATCACTTATATATGGTCAGCTCCATAATTATTGGCACCCTTAGTAAAGATGGGTAAAAGAGGTAATAAAACATTTGGTTAATTAGCTCAATTTCACACTGAAAATATGAGGAAAATTGAGCTTGTTAGACGTTACTGGAACTTTCAAAAAGCTATCAGGGTCTTCCAACAGGACAGTGATCCAGAACGTACATCCTGATCACCAAAACTGGTTAAATGATCACAGAATCAAAATTTTGACATAGCCATCCCAGTCCCCTGACAAAATCTTCATTTCAACCTGTGGAGCCCTGGAGAATCTGTAGAGATTATGTATTTAGAAGTGGCATCAGATTCCCCTGTATTCTCCAGTATCATCAAGCATTACATGAGAAGAGTTAGTGCTATTATGTTGGCAAAAGGAAGTTGCACAAAGTGCTGAATGTGGGGATGCCTATAATTGTGACACATGCAGTTCTTTTTTGTAGTTTGTTCAAAATTTGATAAGGCCTCTTGTTTTTTTTAGACTGAACTGATCCAAATTAAAGGTTAGATTTTTCCTTCATATTTTCAGTGGAAGATTGAGCTGATAACCACAAAGGCAATTTCCTGACCTTTTTTTAACCTTTTTTTACAAAGGGTGCCAATAATTATGAAATGAATTACACTGCTGTTCAAAAATTTTGTAGTCACTGTTTTTAATAAAATAAAAAAGTTTGTTACAGAAAAAATAGTCTAATATAATGTCAGTAGTTTATAACTTTATATATATATACTTCTGGCCTTAATACTCATTATGTTAATAGAGCCAAATATGAACTGCAATTTGTTGGCAAATGTCCCAGCTGGCTCAGAACACTGTTTGAATGAGCTGCTGTGGTGGTGTGCAGGACCTTTTTGGCCCACTTCTGCCATTGCTCAGAGGCATCATCCCTAACCAGTGCATTAAATTAGCTTTTGTATCTAATAGAAGATTTCTAATAGCACTTCATATGGCACTAGTTCATACAGCACTTCATCATTTTGGATTGTCTGCAAGCACTCAGGCTTTTAAATGGGCCGGCGGCCAGCGACGCAGTGACACTTAATGAGGCCGAGGGAAAAAGAGGGAGAGACTAGGAGAAAGAATGGGAGGAAAAAGAAAGCAAGACACGCAAGCACGATTATCAGTCTCCGCCATTAGCTCTCTCATACGCTGCCAAGCATGTAGCCCCAACCCTGCCTCACACGCACTCAGGTACACGCAATTACACACACACACAGAACCATATGGCACGCTAGCTCTGTGCTTGTTTGTGCGTGTGTGTGTGTATCAGTGTGGGATGTTAGTTTATCAGAACATCAAGTTGGGCAACTACCTTGTGCAATTTAGTGCAGGTTTCATGCAAAGATTGCTTTATCCAGTGCTGGATCATTGGTCATTATGAGTAGGGCTATAATAAGATTCACACGTTATTATACAGCATTTAGTGCTGACCAGGGGCGTTGCATTCAGTATGGCGCCGCCCTACCTGTTACCATTAGCAAAGAAAAAGAAGCCCTACCAGTTACCATGAGCAAAGATAAAAGAAATTGCTATATTGCTAATTACTAATTACGATAAACTATAAACAAACTGTATTGAAATAACTATTTTTCTACAAAATACTGTTAATAATGTTTTTTTGTATATGTCTGTAAAACTGACTGGAAGCTCAAATAGCAGTTTATATATCATATTTACAACAGCTAGAAGCTGTCACTGTGGTGTCTATGTCTGTCACAGGGGCCACTGTACTCCTAACTCCTAACATTAGATTCAGTGCAGTGCCCTTAGCTAATCAGCCGCACAGAACAATACTGTCTAAAGGTGCTTGGGGAAAATGCCCCTGACCAATCAAGTGGCCATCGCTTGGCAAAATTAACACACTGATTTAAAATGATTGGCCCCATGTATTCTCCAATTCAAAGCTTCTGGTGCCAGTTTTAGTAAACATGGCCAACACAATTTTAGAGAACTCAAGTTGAGAGAATCCGAAAAACCTTCGATAAACATTTAGACATATATGATCATAATAAAAAACTAATTATAGTAATCTTTTGAGCTGAAAGATTGTTTCTGTATCAAAATCACAAATTGAAAGAATGCAGTTTTCAGTTCGCAAGAGCTGCAATATTTTATCATAGTTTAGATTATTGACAGTGTTGTCTTAACAGACTTTAAGCAGGAAAAGTTAACCCAGTAATATGGAGCTTATAAATTTCGATGCATCTGGCCAAACAAGAAGCAAACAAATATGAAATGTTAAAGCCTCAAGCCAGAAGAGCTGGATTTGCTGGTGATTTTGGCCAAAAAAGATAGAAAACAATCATAGTTTGAAATCAATCACAATACTGGTAAGAAAAACTGCAGTTTGATATTTTCTTCATGTTGTTTAGCTGTAGAAGTCTTTGTGTTAATTGTTGTGCAGCTCTGGATGATCAAAAACAAAACTAGCATTTCCTCTATGTTGGATGAGTGACTGCCCACAGAGAAGGCATTCTCAATATTTATTGGTCAGGTTTAGGTGACATATGCTCTTTCTTTAGTGGTCAGCAAAAAAGAAGTGCATTGCACGGCCTATATAAGAGCTTTTTTAGTGGAGCACATTCCTCCATAGACACTAGTTTTACATGGTGAAACATCTGCGCAACTTCAGTTGCTCTAAACTGATATAAAACTTGCCTGTCTGAGTGTGAAACCTGCTGCACCACATTTGAATCTTGTTTGTGACTCGGCATCAGCATTCGCAACCATCTCAACTGAAGCGAGTTTCATAAAACAGCCAATCAAAACATAGATATCATACTAGCGTTGGTTCTGCTTTATTAGCTTGCTATATTGTGATCTAAATAGCTATTTTTTTTCCTCTCTTGACCCAAAAATAATGCTGGCAATAATTAACATTAGACACTAATTGTGCAGACTGGTGGAATTCTAGACACTAATTGTGCAGACTGGTGGAAAGTTGCATGCAACAGAAATTATGGTTAATGCAACTTGCAACCTGCAACCAGTTGCGTGAAGATTTCACCGTGTAAAGTCTAAAGAGTGGATTTGGAAGGTGGAACTTTCATGAAACTGAACACATTGCAGATGTCTTTATGTAATGAGAACAAAAAATGTATTAAGAAATATGAGCCGGGCATTTGGCTAACTAGTGGAGTGATGGAATGTATTACATGCAACTTTGCTTGTGAATTGCTTCGTGTAACAGTCAAGTTGCACTGATACACTGTTGTAAAAAGCAATAGGAGGCTAGCAGCTTTCTCTTCTCTGTAATTATGTGATGCATTCATGAATGAAAGAATGAAGCAGAAGGGGGAAAGGGCAGCTTGTGTTTCAGATCATTCTGATGACTGGCAGTGTGTGAGTGAGGGGAAGCTGTGTCTTTATTTCAGTCTGGCTGAGGGAGAGAAGTGTGATCCCTCTTTTCCTCTAACTTCTATTTTTCTTTCGGCCCTTTCCCTTTTTTTTAAAGGGGTTTTGTTGTTGAAAACTTTCATTCTTAGGCTGCCTCTCGTCAGGGGGCTGCGTGGAAAAACAAAGAGGGATGGTGCCCAGATGTGTGTATGTGCACTTGTGAGTATGTGAGTGAGTGTGTGTGTGTGTGTCTGTGTGTGTCTGTGTGTGTGTGTGTGTGTGTGTGTGTGTGTGTGTGTGTGTGGTGCATGTGTGTTCATATGTGTGCTTTTGTGATCAAAGTAAAGTTTGTATGTGTGTGTGTATGTGTGTGTGTGTTTGTGTGTAAAGGGTATTTAGCGTGTAGGGTTGTGCTGTCACCATTAGCCGGGTCAGGAAAACTAACAGTCCTGCTGGACACACTCTGACTGGAAGTTTGATTAAATGTTAGAAAGTCCCACAGGGTCACAGCCATTTGGAGAAAAGTAAACAAATGCTGCTTGTCTTTATTCCCCTCTCTCTCTCTCTCTCTCTCTCTCTCTCTCTCTCTTTCTCTTTCTCTCTCTATCACTCCATCTTTCTCTTTCTCTCTCTTTGTCTCTGTCTATCTCTCTCTCTCTCGTTTTTTTTTTATCTGTCTCTCTCTTCCTTTGTCTCACTCTGTGGCTCTTTGTCTCTTTCTCACTTTGTCTCTCTCTCTCTCTCTCTGTGAAGTGTCAGAGAGATTGGTCAGTTGTTCCACCAATGGCTGATAGACACACGGCTCCCCACTTACAGGCAAATGTGAAAGTGAACATGCAACCAGGTGGGGGTGCAGGGGGTCTGGGGTGGTTTGCCGGGGGGCCACTGGGGGGTGGGCAAGCGATTGGCTCTTGATGGTGCCATTGCCCTGTCTCTCTCTCTTTGTGTCTCTGTCTCTCTCTCTGTCTCTCTCTCTATCTTTGTCAATCTGTCTCTCTCTCTTGCTGTCGCTTTGTCTGTTTCTGTCTTTGTCTCATTTTCCCACTGTCTTAATTCAGTTCTGCCTTTCTCTCCCTCTGGGTCAGATGAATGTATGAGTGCAGGCTCAGTGTAAAATGTGTCTTGATTGTATTTTTATTTTTTGTCATTGAGTGAAGGTCTTGATCTGTATAAGTGAAGCTTTGATTTGTTTTTTTTCCAGTGTCTGTTGATTCTGTCTGTTGTATGTGTGTATGTAGAGTTGTGAGATGTGGTTCAGATAGAACAGTACAAGTAATTCTGTGTGTTTGTGTCTTTATCACAGGACTGCCCATGACTGTGCCACCACCTGGTAAGGGTTTACATCACCAGCTTCTGGGACAGTATTAAATTCCAGTGTGATACACAATGATTACGTGTGTATATATATATATATATATATATACTTATGTATACGTGTGTGTGTGTGTGTGTGTTCAGGTTTCCCTGTTCCTCCCGGGGTGCCTTCTCCTCCCCCCATGTTAACTTCACTAGACAGGTACGTGAGAGTGTGTTTAGAAGATGAGGTGTGTGAGATGTACTGATTGTCTTTGTCTTTGTGTTTATTGTGTGTGTGTGTGTGTGTGTGTGTGTGTGTGTTCAGGTTTGAGTGGTACAGAAGCAGGACAAAGCGCAGACACAGCACAGACACTGAACAACAACACAGCCACTCACCTAGCAGCAGGAGCTCACACAGGCGAGAGAGAGAGAGAGAGAGAGAGAGAGAGAGAGATGATAGAAACAGAGAGAATAGAAGGAAAGGAAAAACAGACAGACAGACAGAGAGAGAGAAACAGAGAGAGAGACAAAAAGATAAACATAGAGAAAGAGTGTTTGAGAGATAGAGAGACAGACAGAGAAAAATAGAGTATGAGAAAGAGAGAAAACAAGAGATGGAAAGAGAGAGAGAGAGAAACTGAAAGACTGAGAGCAAGGCAACAAGAGAGAGATGAAGAGAATGTGAGAGAGAAAGACAGGCCGAGACAGAGAGACACAACAATAGAGGGTGAAAAAGCCAAATCGAGAGAGAGGAGAGTGACAGAGATGGATAGAGAGAAAGAAAGAAATAGAGACAAACAGAGAGACAGAAACAGACAGTGAGAGAGAGATGGAGAAAGTGTGAGAGACGGAGAGAGGGAGACATAAAGATGGAAAGAGTGTGAGATACAAATAGAGAAGAATACAAAGAGTGAGAGAGATGGAAAGAGTGTGTGTGTCTGAGTGAGAGAGAGAGAGAATATGTGTGTCTGAGTGAGAGAGTGTGTGTCTGAGTGAGAGAGAGAGAGACTGTATGTGTCTGAGTGAGAGAGACTGTATGTGTCTGAGTAAGAGAGAGAGAGAGGGAGGGAGGGAGGGAGAGAGAGTTTGAGCAGGGTTGATTTGGAGTGCTGATGTGAAAGTTACTGCATTTTCAGAGAGATTGTTTTGATGTGAACTCTGGAGTTCTGCTGGAGGGAGTGATAAGAAAAAGAAAGCCAGTGAGCGAGGGAGACTAAAAGAGAGAGAGAGAAGCAAGAAAAAAAGAAGGAATTACAAAGTAAGGATGACAGCAGATGACAGCTGTGTGTAATTCCCCCTGACAGCAGTGATTGATGTGATATACAGCAGTGATCGACAGCAATCATTGACCTTGTGGGACACTGAAACAAGGCTTGTGCTGCAGTAACATTTCTCACTGTCCCAGTCTTCTACTTTTCTGCCTCCACCCCACCCCCCCTCCTTTTTGCAGAGCTCAGAATATAGGCCAGTTGATGAAAGTTGAAGTCCTCTTTCAGAGACTGAGGATTTGAGACAAAGGCACTAAACTGCTTTCTGTCATAGTTAATCTGCTTTGAACTTCCTCATATCTGTACTCAGACACACCACACACATGCAGACACTGCTTAACCATTCAGTTTGATTCCACTGGAAACTCTTTGCAACAGCCTGGCAAATCTAACTTAGTAAAACAACTACTAATTATTCCTTTATTTTAGTTAGGCTATGTGATCGTTTTCTTGCAGTGTCTTCTGAAATATGTAGACAATTAAGAGATAACACAACAGGGGCATGTTTACCACTGTGTTGCATTACCTCTTCTTTTCAACAACACTCTGCTGTAGTTTTGAAGGTGTTTTCCCATTTTTGAGGATTTCTTGAGCATCTTGTAGGATTTAAGCTTCTTAACAGTTCGGGGTCTCCTTTGTCATCATTTTTGTTTCATAATGAGCCAAATGTTTTCAGTGGGTGACAGGACTGGACTGCAGGCAGGTCAGTTTAGCACCCGAACTCTTATTATGGAGTCTCAAATAAGCTAAAATAAGTGAATCTTTCCCTGAAAAGCACATTGTCTGGATGGCAGCATATGTTGCTCCAAAGCCTGTATATGTCATTCGACATTAATGGTGTCTTCACAGATGTACAAGTCACTCTTGCCATGTGCACTAATGCACCCCCACACTATCACAGATGCTGGGTTTCAAACTGTGTACTGATAACAAGCCAGATGGTTCCTCCTGGAGGATGCAGAGTCCATGATTTCCAAAAAGATTTTTAACAGGACACTTTTCCACTTCGCCTCAGTCCATCTTTAATGAGCTCGGGCCCAGAGAAGGAGGCGGCGTTTCTGGATCCTGTTTATATATGGTTTCTTCTCTGCATGGTAGAGTTTTAACTTGTATTTGTGGATGCAGTGATTTACTGTGTTCACAGACAGTGATTTTCAGAAGCGTTTCTGAGCCCATGCAGTGACTTCTACTTCAGAATCTTGTTTGTTTTTGATGCAGTGCCATCTGATCAGATCATGGACAGCCAATATTGGTTTTCAGCTTTGTCCCTTGCATATAGAGATTTCTCCAGATTCTCTAAATCTTTTAATGATATTATGTACTGTAGATGATGACATCCTAAAGGCTCTTTGCTATTTTAAGCTGAGAAATGGTGTTCTTGAATTGTTGCACTATTTGCCTGCGGAGTCTTTCACAGAGTGGTGAACCCCTCCTCATCTTTGCTTCTGAAAGTCTCAGCCTCTCTGAGATGCTCTTTTTATACCCAGTCATGGGTATATCCACCCATTTTCTGCATGTTTCTCCCACACTTTGCACAATTGTTTTAATCAAATATTCATGAATGATGCAAATTCTGCATTTTTCACTGCTCATGACCTTATAAACTGCACATATAGGCTCATAAGCTAATTTCATACATAACGTGCAGGCTGAATTAATCTGAAAGGGGATAGGACATCGGACCCCCATTGAGTTTTAAATCTAAGTCTGATGTTAAGAGTTCAGGGGCGCTTTCACTTTCCTACCTTGTTTGGTAAAGACCAATGGAACTTTTTATTTAGTTTGGTCCGTTTAGACAGGTGTGAACACTCCACCCTTACTCTGGTCTGCACTAAACAACTGAACTGTGCTCCATCAAAAACTGTGGGTCTCAGTTTGCTTCCAAGTGAACCATGATTCAGTTTGCCGCTGGTGGGAACACACTTTTGTGATTTGTGACGCTTTTTGACACGCTTTTCTCTTTTTCTAGCAGCACGTCAGCATAGTACTGAGTGTATAAACTGCCCAATTGACTCTAGATGGACACTCATATCGTCCTTGTAGGAAGAGCTGCTGCTAATAACGGCAGACAATCAGTAAAATAATAAGCATTGTATTTCATTCTGGCACATGGATCATTTTTGGTCAAGCATCAATGACTTCATTGCTAAAATTTAAACTGACCAACCACTCAGTCAGTTTCTTGGATTGTGAGCATCTCTGTTTTTATACAAAGCAGAGGCAGGATAATACATTTATATCAAGATTACATGTGAGGAATGGTCAGCTAGTGGAAGTTAGACATCATCATTCTTCGTCTCTAACGTGAAAGTAACAGAGCACTTGTATCCCAGTCAAATTGCTGACCAATCAGCGAACACCCACATGTTTAATTTGGTGCACTTTAATCATTGCAGGGTAAAACCAGCTGAACCAAATGCAAAGGATGCAATGTCTCAAAAACACAAACTGTGGTTCGGACTTCAGAACTAGATGTTCCTAAAAACGAACTAGATGTTTCTAAAACCATATGTGCATGGAATAAAAGTCTTTGGCGGTAGTAAACTGTTTACGATAGGCTGTTTGCTAGCGAGTTTGTCTCTTTTAGATGCTTTTCAAGGTGGGTGTTAGTTTAGCATGCACACGCATCTGGGTCTTGTTTTTCTGAGCTTGCAGGCGTCGCAGCTCATCTCTGCTGGTCTAAAACGAGGGTGCTAAAGGCCGTCCCTGACCCTGACGCTGTAAACCTACCCAAATATGGAAGGCCTACAACCAGACAGGTTGGCCATGTTTGCGACCTCAGTCTCCTGTTTATCAGCTTCCAGAACTCTCCATTCCTCCAACTTTCCCTGCTTTCATTCCCCCTCTTATTGCTTCTTTTCCTCCCTCATCCCCCGCAAGACAAACAGCCGAGTCTAGCCCCCCCCAACACACACTGCTATTAGACTTTCTCCCGCAAGCGAGAGACATCCTCTCTTAGCTGATGATCTTACTTAGACTTGTTTACTGGGCTGCTGTCAACACTCAACAAGATGTGGTCAGGAGTCCTCGCATCTTTCATAATGATACGATGCCGTCTTTGAACTGCTTGGGCTGGGACACCTTTTAAATGGCTTTTATTTATACAGTGCAGATTTCCACTTATGAATAATGACTAATCATCATCATCATCCTCATCCTCATCATCTACCTCTTATACATTTTCCCTTGCACTCCTTTTATGGGCATAGACAAATATTGATCAATTTACATGTAATTTAGCTTTAAAAATCTATAAGTGGTTGATTCTGTTGATTGTAACTGGGCAGTACTGTGCAAGCAGAACATTAGTGCAATAGTCAAAGTTGATGTGCTCCAAAGTTGATATGCTGCCACAGGGTGATTTTCTATGTTTGTGTGAGTGTCAACCACATCTGGAACGATTCTCCGGTTTTATCTCTATTTTATAAATCTCTGTATCTCCTTTCTGCCTCTTTTCTCCTCCTTGTCTCCGTGGTCCCTTCTTTTCTCCATTTCCGGCTCTCTGAATTAACTCACCTCTCTCCTTCTTTCGTTTAAAGAATGGTTCTTCTCACGTCTGCCGCACTCTGCCAAGTCCAAACATCCTCTGTGGAGTTTCCGTTAGGCCGAGCCCTGCCAACCGACGGCTGTATAATTTATGAATCACTTCCTCTCCTAGCATGGCTTCAAAAAAAAAAATCTCTTTCTGTTTCTTCCCTTTTTTCCTCATTCTGTCTTAGATTCGCAGATGCACCCACACAAACACTTGCAGATGCACACTGCAGGCTGAGAGTGTTTGTTATAAATTGGGATGGTCTTAAGAGAGAGCCTTGAGGAACTCCTGAAGTGGGAGACACGGGAGTGTGTGGTGTGTAGTGTGTAGTGGACCATTGGGATCCCTGGGTACTTGTGAAAGGAGAGAACCCCTTCAGAACCCCATCATTAATATCTCCAATTGATTTCCTTATGCTAA